TCAGGAAGTAAAATATGTCATTAAAGTAATTGAATTGAGATCAGTTAAAATGTCAAATAATAAAATAAAATCAAAATAAGAATAAGAATTAAGATTTATGATAGACAGGATTCGAACATAAGCGTTTGTACTCGGAGTGGATTAACTCCTTCACGCTTACTGGTCCCGGCGATTTATCCTATCGCCCAATAAATATTACTATCTAAACCTATGTCTACAGGAGGGGACTCTGCTACCATTTTACTGCCCAGTGTATGCGCCATTGTGTGGTTTTCGGACCTGTCTGGGAAGTAAGTATCCATTAGCAGGCCTAGAGACTCTTCACTGATACCGTCGAGCTGTGGTCTGACTTCTGAAGGTATCCAATGTTATGTATGGACTGTGTCATTATATATCTAAGTCGAGACCCTTCTGCTGTATTCTTGATGCCATTACAAAAAGATTTCCACGAACTTTTTTTGCCTTCCTTACCTCATTTTTAAATGACCTTAAGAGGTTATAATTGTTATCCCACTCTATTCTTTGGAATAATTTGGCTAAATTGAATTGCTTTCTGCAATCTTTCGGTATGTTCTTAAGTAAGGGAGACCACCAGGGGGGTAATTCTTCCCCTACTGCGTGTTGTTGGACAAGCCACCTCTAGTGCTTGTCGACGGAAACCCGTGGACTGTTTAACGAGGATGTCTAGGACCTCTTTGTTCTCTGTTTGAAATGGTGGAATCACAGGAATACGCTTTTTTAGCTCCTGCAGGGGTATCTGTCAGTTATTTTTCCTATGATTTCTGAGGTTTTCTACTCTATCTACACTCTCTTTAATTATACACTCAGAGTAGCGGTGATCTAAGAAGGAGTGTTCCTCCAGTACTCTCCAATATGTCATTTTATCTACCAGTTCTGCCGACACAAGTGTTATGTCTAATACTTCCTGTCGGTTTCTAGTTATAAATGTTAGCATTCTGCCTCTGTTGCATAACAAAAGCTTAGTTCCTGGTAAATAATTAAAGAGGAACTCATCCCTTTCGTTGATGTTCGTGCTGCCCCATAGTGTGTGGTATAAGTTGGAGTCGCATCTCTGTAGACTTTGCCTTCGCTGGGTTTTTTATCTTAAAAATAAGCCATTGGCTGACGCACTACCAGAGAATGTTGATGAGTAGAGAAGGAGCAAATGTTAGCAGTACTAAAATGTTAATTGCTAAGAAGGAACATCGAAAACACGCAAGTTCGAAAATAAAATGTCACCACAGCTGTCAATTTACGCAACGAACTACACCACTCTATAAGCAAAATGTATATACATACATATGCACAGATGTTCTTTGATATGCGCATAAACAAAAATTGAAATAATAAAACCGAAAGAAATTGACTTCTAACAGGAAAATTTAATAATCAGGGAAATAATATTAAAATAGAATTCAAATATCAATTCATAAAAAAGGGTTATAAAAATAAAAAAGGACTATATAATATATGATTGGATTTGAACTTAGGCAAAATATTTCACGTTGCAATAAAGAAGTCTGCTATACAAGCAGCACCACAGACAATATTCAAACTCTTATGTCTAATCTGTGAACTCAAACGGCTATTGTTGTTTACTTGCTTCAATGTTCATATGTCTATATGTGAATATTCTCGAAATTGCCTTCCTTCATTCGCATGTCCAAATATATTTGCATATATGTACACATATGTACATATGTATGTCCATCAATATGTCTTTCGCAAAAAATCTAACACTCGCGCAAGTGACAAAAAAAACGTAGACGCACCATCATCGGCCAATAATATTCAAGCGAACTCGCGGCATATTTTCTAAGTATTTTATATTACAACGACAACAAATTCATTCATAAGGAACGTGCGTCTGCTTCAAAGCAAAGTGCGCTCGTTCATAACTCTGCGCCGCGCTATATTTTCTGTGCGCCTGGTAAACCACATTTGGTTTTCATATAGAATTCCCATCGCAAATGTGCGATATGAATGAAATTGAATTTGAATTGAATGTCTTCAGTAAAATTGAAGAATCAGCAAAATTTCAATTTTACAATTTGTATCACTGAAAATCCTACTCATCATCCCCCTCGCGTTTGTATGTTGCCCACAAGCTGCTTTCTCACAACATTTGCTAAAAATCAGAAATTGAAGAATTTGTCTGATGTTCACTTCAAAAAGGAGAATTGGCAACATGACCTCTTAGCGAGTTTAAATAATATTTATATTTTTGCATATTATGCACTATTTATGGCATTAAATTACAAAATTTATATTAAATTGACATTCATATGAAATCATTAACTACTTCTATATATTCTAAGCACAGTCCATATAGTACTTTTATATGTTTACTTATTATCATTGTTTCATAGTTTTTCGATTTAGCCCATTTTATCTAAATACGACGCTATGAAAATGCAGCCCAATTGGTAATCGCAATATTTCAAAAGAGCATAAGTCAACTTTCAATAGCAAACCACTGCAAAAAGGACAAACGAGACAACATAGCCGATCGACATTGTCGCAAAATTGTCGATTGAAACAAATTTTGTCAACTCCGCGACGATGCGCAAAATTTGGCGTCAATATGTATGCGAGCTCGTTTGTATGTATGTATATAAATATGTATGTTTGTCGGCAAAGTCGTCATTTGGTTTTTTTCAACAACACAATGTCCGCGCGAACTCGCCGTTATTTCGTTGGCTTGCCACCATGCACATAGGCGTGTCAAGTGAGGGCCCATAATATATTGATATGTTGCTTAATTTGTATTGAAAAGTACTGATGCATTTATGAATTATTTTCGTAATATAATATATATTATATATATACATATATACCATACCAATATATATATATATACCAATAAATTCATACCTATAATCGTTTTCAAACTGAATTCGATAAATAAAATATATATCTGAAATAATTATGTGGCGGTGCGCCCCAATCCCTCCTTGCCTGCGATCGTTCAACTCGCAAAAAGCAAAAAGCGTAGACAAAAGTCATTGCTTGTGCGGGGCAAGAAGAAGCAAGCATCAGCGTACGTGTATTTAAGAATGTATGTGTGATTATCACATTTGTGTAAATACGCATAATAAGGAAATATTCAATAAACCTAAACATATGAACATATTATATTTTCCTGATATATTTTAAATATCTCAGGAAGTAAAATATGCTATTAAAGTAATTGAATTATGATATGCTTAGATTCCAATTAATAAAATAAAAAAATTAAATAAAATTCGTTTTAGGATTCGAAACGTATAGGCTCGTATTCGGATTGTGCTTAACCCCTTCCCGCTTACGATCTAAGCCACCACAAAAGTGGAACGTGGCCGCTTAGCCACCGTTTTATTATTATCATTTGTTTAATAAGTATATTGCTTACGCAACGCACATAAGTTAGAAAACTAGCTTATTAAATGTTTATTTTATTATGAATTCTGGGGTTTTTACCGGTAATACAGATTTTTAATTCAGAAGGCTTTTCATAATTATAAAGTTGTCATATCATAGAAATTGAAAACATAAATCTAAATAGGTATGCGCAACGATTTTTCATATAGGAATATTCGTTGTGTCTATTTATAGCATTTCGCATATTGTGTGGTGTATTTTTCTTTTTCGAAGTTATACTTTTCGATGTTCCCTCTTGTGGAATTACAAATTAGTATTCAAAAAGTTTTCATTTAACATTTGCTCCTTCTCTACTCATCAACATTCTCTGGCACTACTAACAGTAGGAAAGTACGGTAAGTGGGTGTGGTGATGTGGATATAAGTAGATGTGGTGTGGCAGTGGTTAGCCAAACGGTATAAACTAAGGTGTAAAAGCAAAAATCATGCTACGCGTCATGTGGACGCACTCATCAGAGTATCTTGTTCTGTTTAAAGCAACGGTTTTGCGACAACAATTGGGTCCTTGCAGGGGGTAAGGTACTGGAATGTAGAGAGTATAAGAATGCATACGTTAGCAGCAGGTCCCATAAGTGTCGCGTGAAGTATAGTGGTACCAACCTTCGTAAACAAGGAAATATTTCGGTTAAAGGGGAGGATTTAAGGATTACTGCGTAAAAGAGGGAATACTATAGTTGTTAATCGCTACTAAAGTTCCAACGGACTACATTTAAGTGTAACGTGTGGATTGAACTGAATACCAATCTAACAAATGTGAGCGTATTGGTGACTCCAAATTTAATGATCCACTTAATTTGAAATTATATTGTCAATAGATTAACAAATGAATTAATTATTTCACGATTTAACAAAAATGTTTACGCTTTCCCATTTCATAAGAATGTCTTTGTTTTTGTAACATTTGTTACATCCTAAACCGAAAAAAGTAACGGTAACTTGGCGTAAACTCTACTCTATCATTCTTGATATTATTGTATGTATGGCAATAGCATTTAAGCATTGAAAGCTCTTATACTACTCATTAAAAGCGCTTAACAACGAGCTTTGGAAGTTTACTCATGTTTATTTGTTAAGACATATATTTAAGTGTTATAAACGAATGCTTTCCACAAAAATTTGTTCACGATAATGGTACTAATGGTATATGTGCAGTGGTTCTTAGCTTATTTGATACAGCTTTACTATGTAATATGAAATATATAATTTACTAATTTGAATTCTACCACCCAATACGTAACTGATCGGATTTTCTCTGAGGAGAATGTTAGTAAGGATTATGTCTGCTAGAATACAGAAATGGTCAGACTGCAGACGAGTCAAAATTTAATATACATTTAGATCGGATAGTATGTCCCACGCCTTTCGAAATATAAATACTGAAATAAACAAAATGGATATTGAAACGACTGCTAAATGTGGAGCTCGCGTGAAAGATCAAAAATAAGAATATTTCTCAACATACCCTAAAGCAAATGTTTATCACTCCAAAGATTGAAAATGGAAAAGCACAATAATAATTTATTTTTAGTTTAAAAACTAACTAACATAAACTTTTTTTTTTATATCAATGTTGTCAAATATTTTGTAAATAAAATAAGTCCGGCTCTTTCTTTCAACTAAACAGACAATCAATTAAATGTACATATAAAATTATTACGTAACTTTCCGCGTTTATTGACAGTGAAGGTTTAAATATTATCACACTTACTTACTGTATCAAAAAAGCTATGAACTACTGTACATAAGTAAATAAATAAGAAGAGTAAATTTTAACATATTAGATGAAAACAACAGTTGGCGATAAATAAATTATATTTTATTTATGTTATTAAAGGTGTTGTTGATCGTATTTGAAAAATGGGATTATTAATTCTAATGTGTTTCACCAAAGAATAAAATAAGTCGTTTTCATAACAAACATATGGTTTAAGTTTATGTGGAACAGTTGGAATTAATCGATTTTGAACACTTTTGGTCCTTGTATGTCATCAACAGAAAATAGTAATAACGCAACTAAGACGGTTTTGCTCCAAAAGCAAATGTCGTTTGTTGGCAGTCATACACCGAAAACTGAAGACACTGATGCTCTTGAAGGCACAAACAATTGTAGTACTACCAAATATAAGGTATGTAGAAAATCCAAAACCAAAAATGCATGTTTCAATATTTATAGGAAGTTATGGAAATTGATAAAAATAACAAGTAGTAGTGCTATTGCTGTAACCGAACTTATTATTTTTTCGCAAAGAAAAAAATCGGGACATAACCTCAGATGTTGATAAATTTTATATTTTAAACACAATCGCTATTTTAGATATACTAGAAGTAGAACAGAGTCCGGATTAATTGCTTTAACGTTAGACATAAATATTACATAGACCGCTGTTCTATTTAGTATATGTGACGGGGGTATATCATGAATCTATCTCCGGTAATAGAATATTGTATATCCTAGATTGTACGTGCAGTTTATATATTTTCGCTTAAAAACCTTTTATGGGAATGGCAATGGTCTCATACCGTATATCATTTGACTTGCTTCAACACATTTCGTTTTAAATCCTTAATATAATATTTATGGTATGTATGTTAAAATCAGTGTAACTAACACAAAACATTAAACTTACTTGTACACTTTTACTCGATATGGACATCAATAAGCATTACAAATGAACAAAAACGACTATATTACGTATATGTCAAATAAACGGATGTTAAGTATATGGAGCCTAATCTAGATCTGGATCGCTTTCATTTACCATATATTTATAATAATTATATTTAACTAAATTTTGATAAACTAAACGTGTTCACTTAATTTCATTAAAATATTCCAAATGTCGACCGGTTAGAGTAAGCGGAAAAGCAGAAAATCTATATAATATGTACACTGCGACAATTTATAAAATATGTGCACTCAAAGTTTGAAGAGAGTCTGGTTTATTGCTAAAGCCCAGTGACTTCAAATAACTCCACAAGAAGTAGTCTTATGATGTTAAATCACAACTTCCAATGTCCCAATTTCTTGAAATTATCGAATCTCCAAACTTTTCTCGCAATAATGGTTGTTCATGAATAATTTGTGGATTTTCTTCGCACCAGAATCCACTGTTTTGTTTATTTACCGCACCATTCAGACGAGAAAATGCAAATTGAATTTTGTATGATGCTCGATTGGACGGCTAAAAGAGCTGAAAAATTCCTATCAGGGAGTTCACCATTTTCTGTAGTATTTGCTTTTATTTAACAGAAATGAGAATTTATAACAACGTTCTCTGACAAAATACGTATCTACCAACATAAAAAGAAAAATGAAATACTTTAAACAAGAAATACAAATGCCACTTCACATATGCATGATTATTTTTCGTCATATAAACGATTTTTATGATAAAAATTGATAAAATATGATTTTTTTTGCACAAATGCGGCATGATAAAATGCGAAAGATTATGCAAAAAAAAAATATATTTTACTTTTTTAATAATTTTCTAATTTCAATTGTTACATAATTAAAAATTTATGTGTGTACATATGTACATGATTATAAAGTTCATTTCCATTCTCTGGTATGTACACATTGAGAAATAGAATCTTTGATATTATCACTTCATCAATAAATACATGTGCGCGCACTGCTCTATATGTAAGTATGTATGTACAAATATGCGTATGACCTTGCACATTAATAATCTTTACACAAATCTTTATACATATAAGTGTACAAATGTAAGTATGTAAGCCAATAGGAAAAATACAAACTTTGTTATACAAAAACAACAATTGTCTCAAATAGAATGAGCAGCGTCAAATATCAATATGGCAGTTTTTAGTAAATCACACAACAACAACATTTTTATTCATGAATGCTGGCGCACATAGCTTTAATGCAATAAGCAAACGCCTTACACATCTCCCCAAACATGCTATTGCCTTCAAGCGTCTTTTCGCGACGATGGCAAAAGCTAGAAATCATAAATTGAACAACTTTCTGATGTTCCCACTAGAAGGGAAAAGTGATAACCGTGCAAGGCCACAAAACACAGAAAAAAGTGACAAAAGTGGCAACAAAGCTTTTGTCGATTTAAAATATTTTACAATTCTAAAATATTTTTTCGTGACTCGCAAAAATCTGCGTCAATATGTTCATATTTAAACATATGCACATATTTGCAAAGATTTGTTGGCAAAGCTGTTAGCAGAGAATGTTAATGAATAGAGAAGGCGCAAATGTTAAGAAGTACTAATTTAAGCTTTTCACAAGAGGGAACATCGAAAAATACAATTTCGATTATTTTGGAATACACCACGCAATGATCGAAACGGAGAAAATGCTATAAATAGACACAAAGAATGTTCTTAAATGAATTATGCGCATGCTGAATTACATTTGCATATTACCAAAAAATCGTAATTTTTGTTGTTTGAGGATTATTGGTTAAGGCCCCTGAATTTACAAAAAAAAAAATAATTAATAGATAAATTCTTCAACACATTTTTGTGTGTTGCATGTAAAATATTTAATATGCAAAGGATAACAATAAAACAGTGGCTAAGCGGCCGCGATTCCGCTTTTGCGGTGGCTCAGGTCGTAAGCGTGAAGGAGTTAATCCATTCCGAGTACAAACGCTTATGTTCGAATCCTGTCAATCATAAATCTTAATTCTTATTCTTATTTTGATTTTATTTTATTATTTGAGATTTTAACTGATCTCAATTCAGTTGCTTTAATAGCATATTTACTTCCTGTGATAATTAAAATACTTAAGAAAATATGTTCATATGTTTGGGTTTATTGCATATTCCCTTATTTATGAGTATTTATACAAATGTGAAAATCACACATACATTCATAAGTACACGTACGCCGATGCTTGCTTCTTCTTGCCCCTCAGAAACAATGACTTTTGTAAGCCAGCACAGCTAGAACGAAACAAGTTGAACGATCGCAAGCAAGGAGGGGTCAGGGGCGCACTGCCACATAATTCTTTCAGATATTTTTTTATTAATTTAATTTAAATATTTTAAAGTAACGGCGAGTTCGTGCGGACAAGGGGCGGAGCAAAAAATTGAGTTCTGACAATACGTTGAAGAAAACCAAATGACAACTTTGCCGACAAACATACATACATACGAGCTCGCATACATATTAACACCAAATTTTGCGTATCGTCGAGGAGTTGACAAAATTTGTTTGAATAGACAGTTTGCGACAATGTCGGTTGTCTATGTTGTCTCGCTTGTCCTTTTTGAAGTGGTTTGCTTTTGAAAGTTGACTTATGCTCTTTTGAAATACTACGACTACCGATTGGGGTGCATTTTCATAGCGTCGTTTTTAGATAAAATGGGCTGAATCGAAAAACTATGAAATAATGATAATAAGTAAAGTTTAAATAAAAATGAATGAAGTTAAATTAGAATGGCTTCAGTAAAATTGAAGAGTCAACCAAATTTTCAATTTTACAATTTGTATCACTGAAAATCCTACCATCCCCCTCGCATTTGTATGTTGCCCACAAGCTGCTTTTTCACAACTTTTGCTAAAAATCAGAAATTTAAGAATTTCTCTGATGTTCCCTTTTGAAAGGAGAATTGGCAACATGACATATTAGCGAGTTTAAATAATATTTTAATTTATTTCATATTGTGCACTATATGTGACATTATATTATTATACTCTCGCAACATGTTGCTACAGAGTATAATAGTTTTGTTCACCTAACGGTTGCTGGTATCACCTGAAACTAATTGAGTTAGATATAGGGTTATATATGTATACAATATATAAATGATCATGATGCAGAGACGTGTTGAAATGCGGGTCTGTCCGTCCGTCCATCCGCCTGTGCAAGCTGTGTAACTTAAGTAAAAATTGAGACATCTTTATGAAACTTGGTACACATGTTTCTTGATACCGTAAGATGATTGGTATTGCAGATGGGAGTAATCGGACCACTGCCACGCCCACAAAACGCCATTAATCAAAAACAAATAAATTGTCATAACTAAGCTCCCCAATAAGATATAAGGGTATTTGGCACACAGGATCGCATTAGAAAGGGGCATCTGCGGATAAATTTTATTTAAAAAGTGGGCGTGGTTCCGCCCCTAATAGGTTTAATGTGCATATCTCCTAAACTGCTAAAGCTATAATAACAAAATTCACCGAGAACAAATGTTTTTGCACCCCTATCTACGGTGTGAAAATGGGTGAACCCACTCCCCATATAACGGTATTGTTAAAAACTACTAAAAGCGGGATAAATCAATGCACTAAACACGCCAGAGTCATTAAATTTTAACACAGGGATCGTATGAGCTGATTTTATAGGAGCCGCATGGCACCGCCCACATTTAGGTGAAAACCAATATCTTATTATCAAACTCGGTACATAATATTCTTCACATATAATATATCTATGCTATAATGCAAAAATGAGCGGAATCGGATTACAACCACGCCTATTTCCCATATAACACCATTTTAAATTCCATCTGATTTTTTCACTTTCCACTAAGTAAATCAATAAGGATTGTATCACTTTGCGTGAATAATGCATTTGAAGTCTGCCACCTTGTGACCAAAAATTGTCTAAATCGAACAAAAACTATTCAAGTCCCTAGATACTGAATTTGTTGACCCTAGTGCCTAAAGCTGACTTTTTACCGAAAATAGCGGTCAACATAGAACAAGGCGGCAAGATCCACAAAGAAATCTAAAACGAGTATACCATTTGACTTTACGAGAGTATAAAAAGTTCAGTTACATCCGAACTTAGCCCTTCCTTACTTGTAAAATTTATATAACATTGCCATTCATATGAAATCTTTAACTACATCTATATATATTTTAAGCACAGTCCATATAGTACTTTTATATGTTTACTAATTATCATTGTTTCATAGTTTCTCGATTCATCCCATTTTATCTAAAAACAACGCTATGAAAATGCACCGCAATCGGTAGTCGTAGTATTTCAAAAGAGCATAAGTCAATTTTCAAGTGGCAGTGCGCCCCTGACCCCTCCTTGCCTGCGATCGTTCAACTTGCTTCTCACAAAAAGCAAAAAGTGTAGACAAAAGTCATTGTTTGTGCGAGGCAAATTAATCTTTGTTTATATTCATT